CACATACTCATACAATCGAGCAAAAATAACAGGACCAGTATAAAAGAAAATTAACCAAACCACTCTATATTGATCTATCTAGGTTTTTAATTATCTTTTGGCTCAATTGAGTCCATATAAGAAATAAGCTAGAGCCGGATAGTGTTCTTGGCCTAGTGTTAACGTGAGACTCTTACAAGAATGAAACCCAGCTCTGATGGCGTTCATAATATGATGGACGAAAGCTCAGCACGTTTTTACCCGAAACGAGGAAGGAAGTCCTGTGGACTGTGTCAAAATAAATATCGTATAAAAGCCAAAAGGTTGCAGCATAACGAGATTCATCCGCCCTCATCTGGTGAGATCGACCAACGAATCTCTTCTTCATTCACTTTCCTGCGAACTGAAAGTCCCTCTAACAATGTTATAAAGTAACATAATCGCGTTGCGTTGATTATACTGAATAAAAAATATTAATATAATGAGAGAGACAAGGAATTCCATGCCTTTCTAGCTTAGTGATGATAAGTTCTGCTTGCTGCAGTCATTATTTTAGGCATCATCTTTTCATAACTGATTTCAAGTCTTACAATTTGTCAGATATATTTTCGGGACACGAATATTTAGTCTAGATATGTAAGAAGCTGGCTGCAGATAAGCGCATAGGCACCATTTCCAGATTCGGTTTGTGGAAATTAAATTTGGATTGAATCACAATCACTTCCATTTTCAAAAGAACCATAATTTATGTGTAGAATTTATGTTAGAGTGCTTGGGTCCAAATCAGTGTGACTCACCATAAAAAATCGAATAATATCAAGCCAATTTAACCAGAGATTACATTAAAGTGAAAACATTTGATCACATTTGAAATTAATTTTTCATGCAAGAATTACTGATAGTTTTTATGCCTACTCACCTCGAAAAAAGGTAACTTCGTCGATTGCAATGCCAAATACGTGCTTGCTTTACCTGCCCTCTGACCCAGTAGCGCAGTTGGCTGTGCAGCGGTGTTAATGCTATCGCCAAGCTCATGATCAAGTTATCGAATTCTGTTGAGAAGTCGAAACCTCCAATTATCCTGGAAGTGAATTCCAAAGGCAACGCCGGGCTAGTCATATAATTGTGTGAAAAATCCACTCCGTGGATAAATTCTAATTAAAAAAGTATTGCTAGTCTCTAAGCCTAATCATATCAGAAGAAATTAGTACAGAATGAATAGTCATTTTAAATTTATATACTCTATTAAGTTAACCTGTCTGAAGAGCTAACAGCATAGCAGAAAAAGTGGCTTCTTAAAAGCGACAAGAAACATTACTTAAAAATAAAATTTCTTGGCAGACGCCATAATGAAGTGAACTCAAAGTTATTCCTCACAAGATTGGGATTGCGACCCCTTTTTACTCATGGTGCAAGCCAGTTGTAAGTTTAAAGTTTGAAGCTTTTGGTTAACTCTTTATTCAGAAATCTATAAGAAATGTCTATAATAGTCTAGAAATATGGCCAGATGGAAGCGAAAGCACAAGCACTCTTATCGCATCATTCGATAACAAGCAACTAGGTTTGGAGTGTCCGAAATAATCGCCTGCCAAACTTGAGTTGAATGTTAGAAAATAGCACGATTTCAGGCCATTTTAATTTATGCAGATGAACAGATTAAATTCCATAGATTTTCTGATCTTAGGTGTGTAACTTGATTAATATAATATCTCAAACGTATTGCGGAGAGAAAGTAAGGCATTTTAAATAGAAAAAATATATAAAGAATCCACTATGTTTAACATATCATGCCACAATAAGTTAGAGTGCCTATTTCTTATTAGCGTTATAAGTGCTTTAAAAAAATTTACATGAGTTCGCTTTTTGAACAGGTTGATGGCTTGTCAAAGAATGCAACCTTCGCAGGATAGTATTTAGATTGGTTACTGAATCCGTAATCTAATGCAAACGTAATCCTGAGTCAGACACGCGAGCGCTCAGCCCGGATGAAGATCGCTATAGGCAAGGCGCCCAGATGGCGGTTTGGACGGATGAAATTATTGATCCGATTCAAGTTCGTCCGGCCTTTGAGGATTGGGCCTCTTGATTCGTTTAGACTGGCTCCACTCGTTTGAATCGGCCGGTCGAAATGTTTACATCAGCTCACTTCGGACCAGCTCGTGGCGAGTCCTGGCGATGGGCGTGCCGTGGTGGGCACATGGTGGCGAGGCTACAGTCGTCTATTGCGTCAGGCATGGGTTTGGCCATAACATCGCTGAGCTGGTAGATAGCCTTAGACTCGGCTGTCAAGAGGAGTATGCTGTCAACTTCTGAGAGTCCCTAGGATGCCGGTTGGCTTGGTAACACAAACGAACTATACAAGTCTCCTCGGAGCTTTGTCTTAGAATGCATAGAACTACTTTGATTTAACAATTCAACTTCACA